GACTGGACTGGTAAAACGCGGACTGGACTCTGTTAGTAAAACGCGGACTGGACTCTATTAGTAAAACGCGGACTGGACTCTATTAGTAAAACGCGGACTGGACTCTATTAGTAAAACGCGGACTGGACCACAATTTCGCGCCAAAATTTGACCAAAATGGAACAAAATGGCAGCGAGTTTTAAAATACCAACAAGTCTGAAAAGAAAGGCAAAAAAGGATCCAGAGTTGCCAAAGTTTGAGTGGAAACTTTTCGAAAAAGAAAATAAGTTGGGTTGCGGTATGTTTGGGTCCGTATACCTAGCAAAATACAAAGGAAAGACCAGAAGTGGTTGCCAAAAACAATAATGTCGAGTCCATTGACTCGAAATCCTATTTCGAGAGAGAAGCCTCACTGTTGAACAGTACAAAAGGCCACAAGAACATAATCCGGTTCCTTGAATTTTCAATAATGATGGACTAAAATTCTTGCTTCAATTTTCGCCCGTTTGGAGTTGCAAAAAGTCTTTGCACTCTAGAAAATTTTGTCCATTTCGTAGAGGACGACTTTGACTCCTTCACAAACTTGCTGCCAACATGTGCCAAAGATGTTGTCGCAGGTTTGAAATATTTGCACAACAAGAATATCGCTCACCGGGCGATATTTGCACAACAAGAATATCGCTCACCTGAAACCGGCAGGAAACATATGGCTGACTTTGGCTTAAGTCGGTCTCTCGACTTACAAACCAAGTCATTTTTTATGTCAATGAAATCACCGTTTTGGCTTGCATTCTTTGGCATAAAGTATGTGATACATCATATACTTGAAAAAGCATGTACTGAATGTGATTATCTTAATTCATAATATTTATTGAATGAAAACGATATTCTTGCTGTGCAAATATTTCAAACCTTCGACAACATCTTTGGCACATGTTGGCATGAAGTCTGCGAACGAAGCAAAGTCAAACTCGTCTACGAAATGCGGACAAAATCTTCTAGAGTGCAAAGAATTTTTGCAACTCCAAACGGGCGAAAATCGAAGCAAGAATACTCCATCACTATTGAAAATTCAAGGAACCGGATTATGTTCCTGTGACCTTTTGTACTGTTCAACAGTGAGGCTTTTTTCTCGAAACAGGATTGCGAGTCAATTCCTTTGTAGTTTGCTAGGTATACGGACCCAAACGTACCGCAACCCAACTTATTTTTTTTTTCGAAAAGTTTCGACGCAAACTTTGGCAACTCTGGATCCTTTTTTGCCTTTCTTTTCAGACTTGTTGGGATTTTAAAACTCGCTGCCATTTTGTTCCATTTGACAAAAAGGGAAAGCCCTGGGAACGAGGTTGCCATTTTGGTCAAATTTTGGCGCGAAATTGTGGTCCTAGTCCGCGTTTTACTAATAGAATCCAGTCCGCGTTTTACTAATAGAGTCCAGTCCGCGTTTTACTAATAGAGTCCAGTCCGCGTTTTACTAATCTGAGTCCAGTCCGCGTTTTACTAATAGAGTCCAGTCCGCGTTTTACTAACAGAGTCCAGTCCGCGTTTTACTAATAGAGTCCAGTCCGCTTTTTACTAATAGAGTCCAGTCCGCGTTTTACTAATAGAGTCCAGTCCGCGTTTTACTAATCTGAGTCCAGTCCACGTTTTACCAGTCCAGTGACTCCAGTCCAGTCCGCGTTTTACTATATGCCATCGATGCAGGCTCTCAATTCAGCTTGAGAGCCTGTTCGCAGGCTAATTGAGGCAAAAATCCTTTGACGTCCCCCTTCTTTAAACCCCTGATGCTTCGTAACATTCCTGCACCCTTACTCTACGTTGGAGACTATAGTGCCAACACCGCAAAATGCAACTCAAAGTTTTATTGAATCGAAAGTGTACATACAAAACAGAAGTCTATTGCTTAACTTGACTATACAAGAGAATACATATGTTGTATATAATAACATTGTAAGACTACAGTCTATACGGTAAAAAATCCATTTAGTTCGAATGTTGTTGTATATATTTAAACTTATCCTATATTCCAGTGTAAGTGCTAAGTGGTCATTTGGCCTACGCTTCACTCATGAGGTTTAGTTCTTATTCGGGTATCTCAGTGTTAACCATTGAGTTTATGTATAGCTCAGTCGCCTCAGTGGTGTTCAACCTAGAGATTTAATCATTATAAACAATGGCAGCATTCCAGCATGCAGCACACCAGCTGCATCCCCTTGCCACCCGACGTTTGCTTACACTGTTGCCACCTGGAATTTCGTTTATACATCGATCTGGATGGATTTCCAAACCAACGGTACAGCTCTTTGTTTTGCGGTCAGCGATGCGACTTTGGACCTCTTTCACGGTGGTTGAAGCGAGTTTTGAATTTCTCAATCCCTTTGGCAAGCGTTGTTCCAAAACACTTTCCCAAAACATGACTCCTTGAGCAATCATCTGTCTTTCTGTAGTAAATTGTTCTCTTTCTTATGATTGATGATTCTGCCGTTTTCGTCAGTTTCAGTGGATACTTCCACTGTTTTGATGAATCCTTGCCCTTCTAGATCGACTTCCTTTAGGTATCCTCTCATTTTTTCTTCTGTTAACTTCAAGTTTTCATCGAAAATTCGAACCACGTCAGTTTCTCCGCCATGCACTGCAAAAGGAAAGCAAAGAGAACATTTATTTTTTCCGTGACCCTGATGGGAACTGTTAGATTCATACTTGTAACTGAAAGCGGGACAAAATAGTTAAATTACGAACATGATACGCAGTCCGGCCGCAATGTTGTGATTAGTGCAGCTTACAAAATATATACCTGGGAAATAATGGGAAGCGAAAACCTGGAATATAATTGCCATACCCAAGAAGATCTTCATGTTGATGTCTTCAGGCTTTAATTCTTCAGATTTTCTTTTTCTTCTGTCAGATCTTGCTTCAATGTCACTAGAAATGCCTAACAAGTAACATGCTCAAAAACCCACAATTTATGCGTTCGTTTTCACCAAAACACTCGTTATTGTTTAAACTTTGAACAATTGACCACTTGCGTAATAGACTAAATTTTGATCTCAACAAGTCTAGACAAAAATTTCATTACAGCTTGAAAGAGCTTCACAAAATTAGTAATATTCCAAAGTTTCGTTGCGAAATGTTGTAAAATGCGGATAATATAGCCTTGCGAAGTTTGCCGTTTTTCAGTAATTTTGTATTACAAACGGGAAATTGACAGCCCTGTTGCATTAGGCCCAGAACAGTTTAGATTACTTGAAGTATAGCGTAAGACGCGGACCGAGAGGACTGGCCAGAGAGAGAACAATATGGTGCCATAGATTTACTGTTGTGTTTTAATAATAGAACGTTAAAAAACGTTATTCGAACCGTAATAAAACATTTTAAAACGTGTTTTCAGTAGAGGAAATAGAACATGGTGACCCCGACGAGAAATCAAGAATTTTAGCGGGATTCAGCGCGTATTTTTGTCAAGTTTTAAAGAAATACGAAACTTTATTGACACGGTGCTTCTGAGCAAAACATTGCCAAACTCGTCACAGGATTGACAACCAAGGACTGTAGAAAACAGGTAGACGAATGGTCGTAGACAAATTCGTCTAATTGTGACTGTTTTAAAACATTGAACTTCATTATTAAGGACAAATAATACTAATATTGTGTTGCACAATCACAATGGCCGAGGGACATTATTACACACCACAAACAAAGGTGGATTGGTAAATTTGGTATTCGATACAAATGAAGATGGCAGTGCAACCTTACAATCAAAGGCAAGGTTGACACAGGCGCCATGGTATCATGCATACCAGCCTCCATGCTTCCAAAACTCGGGCTTTCGAACAAGGATCTTACGCCTAACAGCTCTGTCATTCGAGGCATGTCAGGAGCAGACCTCCAGAACTATGGAACGGTGGACATTAACGTTACATGCAATAATATCACCGCAAAGGCGAGATTTTATGTTACAAGATACAAAGCATGATCACGCTTTCATCCTTGGACTGGGATTCTGCAAGAAATTCAAGTTGGTGACAATATCTCCAGTTTGTGTACAACAACACACTATTTCTGTGGAACCCAACAAGGTAGAGGCTGTACATATTACTAGTGAGTCAGATGTTAACTACAACGAGCTGAGGAAAAAATGGAAGGAACATATTCCGCTAGGGAAGAAAACAGACAACCCATTAGAAGACCTGAAGAAAATCTTCCCCGAGACATTTGATAGACAAGTTGGTATGTTTGAAGGAGAGGCCCACCTGAAACTATCATCTGAGGCACGACCTGTTCAGCTACCACCTCGTGCTATACCCCAGAGTGTTATGCCTGACCTCAAGAAAGAGTGAGACAAAATGGAGCAAGAAGGGGTTATCCGACCCTGCCCAGAAACAACAGATTGGGTCCACAATCTTGTGGTCGTCGTCAAGAAAAATGGAACTCTCCGTTTATGTCTAGACACACGAAGTCTCAACAAATACCTGATTCGCAATGTACATTACACTGCCTCTTGGGAAGACGCCCAGCATAGTTTTAATAATGGTCAATACTTTTCGACACTTGACGCCAAGAGTTGGTACTGGACCAAGCAGCTTGATAAACAAAGTCAGCTCCTCACTGCGTTTAATACCCCATTCAAGAAATACTGCTTCTTACGTCTTCCATTTGGACTATCAGCATCCTCAGAAATATTCTGCGAGCAAATGGATCGCGTCCTGTGTGGTATTCTTGGCACATTTCCATGCGCTGACGATGTTAAAGTACAAGGATCAACGGAAGAGCGCCATGACATCCACCTTTTAGAAACCGTCGAGAAAGCATGTCAAGCAGGATTAAAGTTCAACCCAGAAAAGTGTGTGATCAAAAAAGAAGAGATCGAGTACTTCGGACGTGTCATCTCTCCACAAGGCCCACGTGGCACCATGCCCCAAGAAAGTCAAGAACATTCTGTCACTCGTAGCTCCAACGGACAAGCAAGAGCTACAAAGTCTGCTGGGAACTGGGAACTTTATGGCTACATTTATTCCTAACTTGACCAAGAAGACCCATCTTATGCGCGGGCTGCTCAAACGAGATACGCATTTTGTATGGACCAGTGATATGCAGAAAGAGCTGGATACCATCAAGAGGGACATCGCCAACGTCGTGAAGCTCATCCACTATGATCGTACAAAACCTGTGGTCATTGAAAGTGACGCATCTCCGAAAGGTCTCGGCGCTGTCTTAATTCAGGATGGTAAGCCAGTGCGTTTTCTTAGCAAAGCCCTCACGTCTGCGGAAACTAACTATTCTAACATAGAACGGGAACTCCTCGCAATTCTATTTGCATGTGAGAAGCTACACACGTACACGTTCGGACGCGAAATCATTGTACACACAGATCACAAACCACTGCAGTCCATCTTCCAGAAACCGATAAGCTTGGCACCATCACGATTACAGAGGATGCTTCTTCGTCTCTCCATCTACAATGTTCAAGTGAAGTACGTTGGTTCCAAGAGTGTGCTATTAGCTGATACTCTGTCTCGTCTTGTGGATCCTAGCAAAGCCAAAGAAATCCCTGGCTTAGATATCAACATCGCGCAAGTTATCAAGGTGGAACCAGCTTGACTCGCATCACTACAAGAGGAAACGAAAGCTGATCATGCACTGGTTGAGTTGTCAAACTTGATCATTACAGGCTGGCCAGACAGCATGCAAGATGTACCGCAACACCTGCACCCGTACTGGTGTTTCCGCGATGACCTAACAATACTTGACGGTCTCATTATGAAAGGGAATAGAGTCATCATTCCCACCAGTATGCGACATGACACGCTCGAGCTCAGTCGACTACATGACGCACACCAGGGCATTACTTCAACCCTTCGACGTGCAAGGCGCACCGTTTACTGGCCAAAGTTGCAGGATGACATCACTGAGATGGTCCAGAAATGTGATGACTGCCAAAGGCATGGTAACAAGAAATCTAGAATCCCAGAACGACAAATAGAGTTCCAAGGCAGATATGCACTGGTCACGGTAGATTATTTTTCCGGATTCCTCACATACGACACCCTGAAAGTTCAAACAAGCGAAGCAGTGATAAAGGTGCTAAACAGCAACTTCAGAAAATTCGGGCTACCAGAGAAGATACTCTCAGACAATGGCCCGTGCTTCAGATCTGAAAGCTTTCGACGTTTTTGTGAACAGCTCGATATTGGCCACATAACGTCGAGTCCGTATCACCACCAAAGCAATGGTAGAGCGGAAAGAGCTGTTGGGATTGTCGAACATATTCTGAAGAAAAGCAGAAGCGATGTAGCCATCACAAAGGCACTTACAACTTACCTTGACACCCCAGTAAGTGACACACTACCATCACCGGCTGAACTCTTCTTTAACAGGCGGATTAATACCCGACTTAGCATGAACATGACACCAGTACCTTTGACTGATCAGCAAAAAACTGGTCTCAATGACAAGCGCTCAGCTCACTTGAAGTCAACAAAGCAGGACCAAGTGAAGTACATGCTCAATCAACCTGTTTGGTTTACCGATGATGCCTTGGATGAATGGAAACCTGGTTATATCGACTCTAAAGACAGCACACCAAACGCATACTGGATTATCAACGACGCAAGCAACAGAAGGTTGAGACGGAATACACATGACATTAAACCACGCCATACCTTTATCGCACACCAGCGACCCCAACAGACTGTCTTCGACAGTCATCCAGAATGCCACGTAGACCGCGAAAGCCCACCACCTGCTGTAGTAGAACAACCAAGTGGGTGGTCAGAAATACCTGATTCACCCCCAGAAATCCACCATCATCACCTACGATGACACCACCACCCCCTCATCGAGTCATACCACGAACGCCGAAGACGTCTAATGACAACATGAAGATGATCAAGGCAGCAAATCCTGCACAAGTGCTGACCCGATCACGCTCAGGATGTCTGGTCAAATCAACTAAGAACTCAGATTTTGTATATAATGTTATCTCGTTTGGTTCGTGAAGCAGAAGGACTTGTTTTACTTTGTTACTGTTATGTTATGTTATTCTTGGTTCTGAAACCATGCCTCAAGAGGGGCATGTTGCATTAGGCCCAGAACAGTTTAGATTACTTGAAGTATAGTGTAAGACGCGGACCGAGAGGACTGGAGAGAGAACAATATGGCGCCATAGATTTACTGTTGTGTTTTAATAATAATAGAACGTTAAAAAAGTTATTCGAACCGTAATAAAACATTTTAAGACGTGTTTTCAGTAGAGGAAATAGAACAAGCCCCAAAGGGTATTGGGCTGTCAATTTCCCCCGCGTATAAATACAAAATGACTGAAAAACGGCAAACCTCGCAAGGCTATATTATCCGCATTTTACAACATGTCGCAACGAAACGTTGGAATATTACTAATTTTGTGATGCTCTTTCAAGCTGTGACGAAATTTTTGTCTAGACTCGTTGAGATCAAAATCTAGTCTATTACGCAAGTGGTCAATTGCAGTGCTGAAGGAAGACGATGGTGCATAATTAACAACCGACTTTAATTTGTTTATGCGTTGTTTATATGTTACAACCTGGTGAGTCATGGTATGGCGTCATTATATATTACCACCAATACAATATACTCATGCTTGTTCCCGACATTGAAGTTAATTTGGACATTGAACTTTCAACAATTGTAACCTGAAGGAAGACGATTCATGGTATATATGATAACAATAATATTTTAATTGTATCCAGTATCCTTGGCTTAGCAGAAAAATTTGGACAACTTCTATGGCAGTCGTGGTGGTCAATGTTTCTAGAAGCCATTTTCAGTCGGTTTATCGTGATAACTATCCCAAAAATAGTAAAAAGAACTGCATTTAAGTGACCGAAAAAAACATATATATTTTGCACAATAATGACTTGTTTTGTTGATCCTCGTTGAGATATTGTTTATATGTCTGCAAACATCACGTGACACACTGCATGGATATTGGAAAAGCTTGCTTTTTGATGTACCCTCAAGCCGTATAGTCTCGTTTAAGATGGCTGTGCGTTTCAGAATTTTTTCGCAATTGCTGAAAAACTTTGCTTTTTATAGGGTTCCCACTTTTTGGGAGCCACAGAAATTTAAGAGGCCCTGCCGCATGCTTTTCCGGCTTAGCGATTTCGAGGGGGAGGCGGGGGGGGCGAAATGGGTTTCTCAGTAATAACGCTTTGTAATAACGAAGCGCATAACAAGAATGCATACCCTGGAAAGCGCGTTGGCTCGGGTACCGTTAGGGTTCTCGGCATTCGCCCCTCCCCCCCTCTCTAACAGCACGGGGCCCGCAAAATACGCCGCTTTTGACATAGTCAATCCAAGACTGATTGGAATATGATCGTTTTGACAATGATCGCCGGGTTTGATACAGTAAAACCAGAAGTCAAAGTGAACGTACTTGACAATTGGATTGACACTTGCATGAAGTTGAAGTAACTGTGTGCAGCGAATTTTCAATACTGTCTGGCAACTCTGATATACCTGGTAACAATATGTAAACATGTTTTGAATAATTAATTAACCTCTACCAGCAGACAATTTCGCGAAATATAAGATGAAAAACACTCTCTAAATATTAACAATCTTGTAAACTGAAGATTCGAACTATTTAAACAAAACAGCAAACTGGCAATGTACGTTCACTCAGATGAGGGTACATATACTCAGAACATTCGTAACTCCAGTCTACTCGTTCACATCCATCAGAAAAAGAAAAAGAAAATCGCAAATCAGCAAAATCGCAGCAAATTTTGCAAGTGTAAACGGACCTTTAGTCATCGTACTAGCGAATGAACAGAAACCAAAGCTTCTGCGCGGTGCTCAGGGGCGGCGCTAGACCTCTTTGATGTGTGTGGAAGTGAATTTTGCCGAGTTATCAAGGCAAATTTGGCCGAGTTACTACAACCACTAACTAATATTTATTTTTGTCACTCAGCTATATTGTTTTTTCCTTCCTATCCAAATCCATGTTTTGCCGACTGAGATTCAATATTTTGTCGACTACCTGATGACTGGGGGGTATTCCACCCCTCCCCCACACACACACCCTCCCCCTCTAGCGCCGGCCCTGACGATGCTTTCTAACATGACAAACGTGATAAAAACGATGGAGTGAAAGAATTTTTCATTAATCCTAATACCACGAATAACCAACCACAAAAAGACAATAATGTAGCTCACTTTAGGCGAAATCATATTCTTATATCTTCCAAAAGGACGACTTTATCCAACGTTCTGTGATATAATTTGTTTGAAAGGTCAAAAGAAATATAGAAAATCCTAAGAATTTTAGTAATTTTTACAGAGCTCGGCGGCGCGCAGCTAGCACCTGGCATCACGTCGCTCTAATAGTGGGAGAACCTAATATTCTTCGCTGTCTAAAATGCAAACTTAATTACTATATATTGAATACTCGTGATTCCCCATTACATGGTTTGCAATAATTGTTGTGATATAATCGTAGAATATTTTGCAAGTGAAATCTCCCTTAGGGTGCAGGAAATGCCATTTAAGAGACTAGAACATTTTCTGGGGAAAGATGTCCACGGAATCGATCGAGTTTGTCTGGTCTATCCCTTCCCTACCCAACCATCTTTCTGCCACCCATGTAGATGAAGAGTCTATCATAGTGTACAATCTTTAACGTTAAAAAGCTAATTCAGGTAACTGAATGATTTTACTAAAATCCTCCAACCCCCGCCAAACACCTGCTGCTTCTTACCCTCCTCGTCAGCAGACATGCCAGAAATGCAGTAAAATTATTTCCTGTGGGGAATGGCCCCCATACCCCTTATTTTCACAGCTCACGTGCGTGCTGGGGCGACATTTGGGGCAAGCGAAGCCCCAAAAAGGCGGATTAGAGTAGGAGAACAAAATGTTCTTTGCTGCCCGAAATTCAAATTTAAGGTTATTATGCACTGAATATTCCCAGTTACCAGCGTGGTTTGAAAGTAGTTGGGTAGGACAAATCTTCGCCAGAACCGGTAAGGGCCTCTAGATTTCAAAATTTCCTGGAGTAACATGGCCACGGAATACCCCAACCCCACCCAAAATCGCGTTTGTCTGGCCTGTCCACCACCCAACCAACCCCTTTATTGTGCCAACTATATATGCAAATTAAGAGTCTATCGTAATTTCCAAATTTTAAAGTTAAAAATCTAATTGAGGTAAAAAATCCTTTGACGTCCCCCCCCCCTTCTTTAAACGCCTGATGCTTCGTAACATTCCTGCACCCTTACTCTATGTTGGAGACTATAGTGCCAACATCGCAACATGCATGATCAAAGTTTTATTGAATCAAATTAAAGTGTACATACAAAACAGAAGTCTATTGCTTAACTTGACTATAGTATACTGTATAAGAGAATACATATGTTGTATATAAATAACATTGTAAGACTACAGTCTATACGGTAAAAAATTCCATTTAGTTCAGATGTTGTGATCATTTTGGTTATACGCTTGACTCATGAGGTTTAGTTTTTATTCGGGTATACCAGTGTTAACCATTGAGTTTATGTATAGCTCAGTGGTGTTCAACCTAGAGATTTAATCATTATAAACAATGGCAGCATTCCAGCATGCAGCACACCAGCTGCATCCCCTTGCCACCCGACGTTTGCTCACATTGTTGCCGCCTGGAATTTCGTTTATACATCGATCTGGATGGATTTCCAAACCGACGGTACAGCTCTTTGTTTTGCGGCCAGCGATGCGACGTTGGACCTCTTTCACGGTGGTTGAAGCGAGTTTCGAATTTCTCAATCCCTTTGGCAAGCGTTGTTCCAAAACACTTTCCCAAAACATGACTCTTGAGCAATCATCTGTCTTTCTGTAGTAAATTGTTCTCTTTCTTGTGATTCTACCGTTTTCGTCAGTTTCAGTGGAGACTTCCACGGTTTTGATGAATCCTTGCCCTTCCAGATCTGCTTCCTTTAGGTATCCTCTCATTTTTTCTTCTGTTAACTTCAAGTTTTCATCGAAAATTCGAACCACGTCAGTTTCTCCGCCATGCACTGCAAAAGAAAAACAAAGAGAACATTTATTCTTTTAGTTTTTCATGTATAGTTGGGGCTATCTGTCTTTGGTCGCACAGTTTCGATCAGTCCGATTGCAAGAAAAGCAATATGGCCTTCACAATTTCTACTAGTAAAGAATGGCTCTTACGGAATATCTATGAAGAACAGCTACAGGAGTGATAAAGCAGATCCAGCTCACATATAAATAATTCAGGAATTGGTAAGGCTTATATACTCGACCTGAATGTAAGTTTAGAACTGATAGAATAATAATTATACTTTATTAAGTTAGTTTATACAGTACTGATTTAGTCCTCCCGTGACTGGTAGAACAAGCTATTTGAATTATGTGACATGATGTATAGTATATCTTGGCTTGTGGTTAGTATTGCTTCATACAACATACAGTATCTATACCTGAGGAGTTGAAAACCTGCAGTACAATTACCACCAAGAGAATTGACTTCATCTCGAAATGTCTTCAGACTTGCTTCAATTATTTCGTCTTTGCATTAATGTCCAAGCAAAAATGCCACAACTTGCTCAACATCCCGCATTTTATACGTTTGTTTTCACAAATACCTAGTTATTGTTTAAACTTTGAACAATTGCAATGCTGAAGGAAGATGATGTGATATATGATAACAAGAAATATTTTAAACTCTTTAAAAAATTTTAAAAATTTATTTTTAACATCCTTGAGAAGTTAATTGTATCCTCCTTGGTCAATGAAAAATTTGAATGATTCTTGCTTGGACGTGACAATGGTCGTTCTATTTTTACACCAGGTACTAATTAAGTCTTCAAGTCTTCAATATTACTAAACTACAGTATTCTAGCGATTTATGGCCTTTGAAAGACAAGCGAAATTGTATTGTTCACACTGAAATCGATCAAAATTATTAAACTAATTAAAAATGCAATACATTTGACCTTGATAACTTTCGTTTGTTGCTTTTCTCTTTTTCGTCCGTATACCAGTCGATTTGTCTCACTTTTCTCTTTATTTTGTTTGTAGTTTGAGCCCAAAATATTATATATTAAAGGTTTTAATGTGCAGTTTTAATAAGCGAAATTGTATTGTTTACAAATCGCTCAAAATTATTAATTAAACTAATTAAAAATGCATTGACTGACCTTCATCCAAACCTAAGTACCACTCCTTTACCGTCTGTACGCATGGCTCTAGACAATTTTACTGGTAAAAAAGACAAATTAAAACAACTTTCCCAACTTTCCCTAATCCTGACCTGCCTAACCCTTTTAACATTTGTATAACCTAACATTTGTATAATATATATAAAGATTTCACATATTTAATGTCTTTAATGTCTGACCCTCATTCAAACTTCCCTGACACTGACCTAAACTATGCACTTTAGATCATGTACAGGCATGTATAGCCACGGATTCATGCGAAGGGAAAGAAGCGAACACAGAAGCTCTACCAAGCAATTTAATCGCCAAAACTGAATTTGAAACATAAACTTCAGTTGCAGGATTTAGCTGTCCATGTTCTTCAATTCAGTGCCAGAATGTGCAGGAAACGGCTTCACCCAGCCCCAATTATTCCGGGGGATAGCATGTCCCTGGATCACCCACCGCACGTTTCTTGTTCATTGATTTAAATTCCCAATTCTATTCCGATCGAATTTGATTGACATTGACTAATAATCAACTTTGCAAGGTAGGGTTCAGTAAATATATTGCATTAGATATACATAAGCAACAGAGATGATTTTGATGGTAGCTTCAAATTTAATTTTGTGGGTACAAATCACTGACATGCATGAAATATCTTAAATTGTTCTGTTTACCAAAACATAGATAGAAAGATTACAGACATAAAAAGCTTTGAAAAGTCATAAATATATATTTACTCGCTGCCATTGTCTTTGTACTATCTTCCTTCAGCTTCTCAGTGTGGGTAGATGAGACCAGAAGACTGTAGTCTGTAGTTTATATATAGATGGTATTTGATGTCTGACGAAAATATCTTTTAACAGTGTTTTCGACTAAGTTGTAAAATATGTCATTTATTAGCAAATTTAGATCCTCCATTCGGCAAAACTCCGAGCGTATCCCTGTAACAATATTATTTAGGAAGTGTTTATATGAGCCTTACATGAAGGCCTGGTCCTCCTAGACGAGATCCCGCGTGGCAATTGAAATCCTTATTAAAATTGTTATCGTTTATATGAGAGGAGAGTCAGCCCTTCTACACACGTAAAAACGCACAAGTTGAAACAAACCTGTAGCAGATTTGTATAGCAATGCTGTTCCAACAACTTGTTATCAGGATGTGTTTGTTTGCACTGCTTATTCCCAGCTTGTTGACAACTTGCTACAAGGTTGCTGAGCTCAACAGAAGTTGTTCCAACAGCTTGTTATCGTCAACTCATACAAGTTGTTCCAACAACTTGTTATCCTCCTGCAATTCAGCAATTTTTAAGTTGTGAGTGACAACCTTGTAGCAACTTGATAAAATAACAGCATTGTTACAACTTGTTGACAAGCTTGCTACAAGCCTGTTGTGAACACATCTTGTTGACAAGTTGTGAGATTTTTACGTGTGTAGGTGAAATCACGATCACGCTATTCTCTCCCAGCAGAACTGGCAATTCCCCGTATGAACGCATAAATTTTTAGTGTTTTCGCGACTGACGATAACCGAAATTGAGTGAATCACGACTCACGATATACCCCATCAACACCCTCTTTATTAGCAAGTATATGCGCAGCGAAATTGGAAAGCTTTATTAAACAGTGGTGAAGGTAGTCACAGGTCATGCTATTCAAACTTTTAATGATTTGCATTATTCAAACTTTTAGAAATGTATTGTCTTTAACGCATTTAGATTCATGTTTAGCATAGTATGAGCAGTTGCCATGGCTACCTTCGCCACTGTTATTAGGTCTACATTGTCCTTGGCTGAGCCGAAAGAAGGGGACAATTATAAAATGCCAGGGCAATTGTAGAATGCCAAGCCAATCCAAATTAAGCTGCCGTGTTGGTTTAAAGCGGATACAAGACATCTTCAAATGTATATAGCTTTTTTTTACTATGCGCTGACACTGAGCTACTATTAACTACGCCGGCTACATGGTATGTAGCTACGTACCTATACTTTAACTACTTGGCTACAGACAATACTTTGGCGTGTACGTCAGGGTAAATTTCAACTTGTTTACTGCCTGACCCTCATCCAAACTTAAGTATACCACTCCTTTACTGTCTGTACGCATGACTCTAGAGAATTTCGCTGGTAAAAAAGACAAATTAAATTATATCATGCCTAACCCTCACCCAACTTTCCCTAATCCTGACCTTCCTAACCCTTTTAACATTTGTATAACCTAACATTTGTATAATATATATAAAGATTTCAACTAATTTAATGTCTTTAATGCCTGACCCTCATTCAAACTTTCCTGACTCTGACCTAAACTATGCACTTTAGATCATGTATAGCCATGACGGACTCATGCAAAGGGAAAGAAGCGAACACAGAAGCTCTACCAAGCAATTTAATCGCCAAAACTGAATTTGAAACATAAACTTCAGTTGCAGGATTTAGCTGTCCATGTTCTTCAATTCAGTACCAGAATGTGCAGGAAACGGCTTCACCCAGCCCCAATTATTCCGGGGGATAGCATGTCCCTGGATCACCCACCGCACGTTTCTTGTTCATTGATTTAAATTCCCAATTCTATTCCGATCGAATTTGATTGACATTGACTAATAATCAACTTTGCAAGGTAGGGTTCAGTAAATATATTGCATTAGATATACATAAGCAACAGAGATGATTTTGATGGTAGCTTCAAATTTAATTTTGTGGGTACAAATCACTGACATGCATGAAATATCTTAAATTGTTCTGTTTACCAAAACATAGATAGAAAGATTACAGACACAAAAAGCTTTGAAAAGTCATAAATATATATTTACTCGCTGCCATTGTCTTTGTACTATCTTCCTTCAGCTTCTCAGTGTGGGTAGATGAGACCAGAAGACTGTAGTCTGTAGTTTATATATAGATGGTATATTTGATGTCTGACGAAAATATCTTTTAACAGTGTTTTCGACTAAGTTGTAAAATATGTCATTTATTAGCAAATTTAGATCCTCCATTCGGCAAAACTCCGAGCGTATCCCTGTAACAATATTATTTAGGAAGTGTTTATATGAGCCTTACATGAAGGCCTGGTCCTCCTAGACGAGATCCCGCGTGGCAATTGAAATCCTTATTAAAATTGTTATCGTTTATATGAGAGAAGTGTCAGCCCTTCTACACACGTAAAAACGATTTGTATAGCAATGCTGTTCCAACAGATTTGTATAGCAATGCTGTTCCAACAGATTTGTATAGCAATGCTGTTCCAACAACTTGTTATCAGGATGTGTTTGTTTGCACTGCTTATTCCCAGCTTGTTGACAACTTGCTACAAGGTTGCTGAGCTCAACAGAAGTTGTTCCAACAGCTTGTTATCGTCAACTCATACAAGTTGTTCCAACAACTTGTTATCCTCCTACAATTCAGCAATTTTTAAGTTGTGAGTGACAACCTTGTAGCAACTTGATAAAATAACAGCATTGTTACAACTTGTTGACAAGCTTGCTACAAGCCTGTTGTGAACACATCTTGTTGACAAGTTGTGAGATTTTTACGTGTGTAGGTGAAATCACGATCACGCTATTCTCTAATTTCTCTCCCAGTAGAACTGGCACTTCCCCGTATGAACGCATTAGGGAAGACTATCCTTCTTTGTGAAGAAAGTAGACGGTAAAAGTTTGGTATTTTAACGGTAAATCTTTCAAAAGTGTTCAGAAACGATAAACAGTATTTTTTCCCTCATCACGGTAAATTTTTAGTGTTTTCACGACCGACGGTAACCGAAATTGAGTGAATCACGACTCAGGATATACCCCATCAACACCCTCTTTATTAGCAAGTATATGCGCAGCCGCCGCAGCGAAATTGGAAAGCTTTATTAAACAGTGGTGAAGGTAGTCACAGGTCATGCTATTCAAACTTTTAATTATTTGCATTATTCAAACTTTTATAAATGTATTGTCTTTAACGCATTTAGATTCATGTTTAGCATAGTATGAGCAGTTGTCATGGCTACCTTCGCCACTGTTATTAGGTCTACATTGTCCTTGGCTGAGCCGAAAGAAGGGGACAATTATAACATGCCAGGGCAATTGTAGAATGCCAAGCCAATCCAAATTAAGCTGCCGTGTTGGTTTAAAGCGGATACAAGACATCTTCAAATGTATATAGCTTTTTTTTACTATGCGCTGACACTGAGCTACTATATTAACTACGCTGGCTACATGGTATGTGGCTACGTACCTATACTTTAACTACTTGGCAACAGACAATACTTTGGCGTGTACGTCAGGGTAAATTTCAACTTGTTTACTGCCTGACCCTCATCCAAACCTAAGTACCACTCTTTTAACGTCTGTACGCATGGCTCTAGACAATTTTACTGGTCAAAAAGACAAATTAAATTATATGATGCCTAACCCTCACCCAACTTTCCCTAATCCTGACCTTCCTAACCCTTTTAACATTTGTATAACCTAACATTTGTATAATATATATAAAGATTTCAACTAATTTAGATCATGAACAGGCATGTATAGCCACGGACTCATGCAAAGAAAGCGAACAGAGAAGCTCTACCAAGCAATTTAATCGCCAAAACTGAATTTGAAACATAAACTTCAGTTGCAGGATTTAGCTGTACATGTTCTTCAATTCGGTGCCAGAATGTGTAGGAAACGGCTTCACCCAGCCCCAATTATTCCGGGGGAGCATGTCCCTGGATCACCCACCGCACGTCTTCTTGTTCATTGAAATTCCCAATTCTATACCGATCGAATTTGATTGACATTAACTAATAATCAACTTTGCAAGGCTAGGTAGGGTTCAGTAAATATATTGCATTAGATATACATAAGCAAGCATTTTGATGAGTTTTGATGGTAGCTTCGATCAAATTTAATTTTGTGGGTACAAATCACTGATATGCATGAAATATCTTAAATTGTTCGGTTTACCAAAACCGATAGATAGAAAGATTACAGACACAAAAAGCTTCCAAAAGTCATAAATATATATTTACTCGCTGACATTGTCTTTGTACTACCTCCCTTCAGCTTCTCAGCGTGGTAGATGAGACCAGAAGACTGTAGTCTCGTAGTTTATAGATAATAATCTATTTGATGTCTGACGAAAATATCTTTTGACAGGACATGTTGGACATTTTGTTCTCGACTAAGTTGTAAAATATGTCTAGTAAGCTTATATAAGGAAGAAAGTCCACCAATCTTGAAATTTATTTTCGTCAGGTTTTATATATTGTTTTAATTATATGAATTCAAGTTATATCTAAAACTACTCCTAGAATTAATCTTGTAACGACAACTCACTGCATTTCACATATACTGTAAAGTATTGGTATTTCTGTAAACATATACAAATCAATAGTCTAACGTTTAATATCTACTCGGTATCTCGACATAACATGCACAGTCATGTTTTTTCTTCCGAATCGCCGATTTACGATATTTTCGCTGTTTGGCTAAGTCTGCAGTATTTGTAAAGAAACAGTATGTGGGTATTCGAACATGTTTCTCGACAGTTCCATAACCAGGTATAATTATATAGTGAATGGGGGTGAGTTGAAAGTTGATAAAAATATCTTTGGGGGTTGAGATAAAGAGATTACCAGATTTTTATAGCGGTTATTACTAAAAATTTGCTAAATCGAGAATTTTTACAAAATTTAGATACTCCGTTCGGCAAAACTCCGAGAGTATGCCTGTAACAAAATAATTAGGAAGTCCTGGTCCTCCTAGGCGAGATCCCGCGTGCCAATTGAAATCCTTATTAAAAATTGTTATCGTTTATATGAGAAGAGAGCCAGCCCTCCTAGGTGAAATCTCGCTATTCTCTCCCAGTAGGACTGGCAATTAAGTGGCAATTTCCCACATTAACGCATTATAGGGAAGACTGTCCCTCCTTGTGAAGCCTGGCCTTCCTTGTGAAGACTGTCCTTCCTTGTGAAGGCTGGCCTTCCATGTGAAGACTGTCCTTCCTTGTGAAGGCTGGCCTTCCTTGTGAAGACTGTCCTTCCTTGTGAAGACTGTCCTTCCTTGTGAAGACTGTCCTTCCTTGTGAAGGCTGGCCTTCCTTGCAAGATCTGAAGACGTGTTTGGTTTATTCAGTTATACGCTCTGGACAATATTCAATTGTCTGTTGGTTATTATTCGAAAATTTGCTCGGCAAAATATGACTTCATGAGAAAATAAATGTTAAGAAGCAAGTTAATTAACAATTATTCGCCGAAGGCGAGGTGATTATCGGTGAATAAAAACCGAGACGAAGTCGAGGTTTTTATTCCCGATAATCACCGAGCCTGAGGTGAATAATTGTTTTAGTATAATTTCATAGGTGATTATTTGGGAAAAAAATTTAAAAATGCACATTTCTTTGTCTTTTAATTGACAAAACGGCTTCGGCCGCCATTTTGAAAATCGCTTAGGTGATTATCGCGTAATAATCACCTCAACGGTAACCAATCAGCGTGGAGAATCTTCAATAATCACCTATGTAATTATACTAATGCTGTTTATGGAAGAAAGCAAGTGCTAGCAAGTGGGCTGACTTTTCGTATGTGCCCCACCGGTAAAGCTAGTCCTTCAGGTAGAGCTAGTATAAACACAGCTGTTCCTGGTTAGGTCTAATAAATGTATATAAATTTACACTCGTAATTTCCATCTGCAAAACCCTGAACTATTATTCAATCGAGTGAGATGCCAACAAAACGTGATATTTACCTAAATAAATGTAAACACCTCTCATGTCATGTAAATATAATTAAGAATGAATAAGATGATGGAGGTCACGTCGGTTTGGACGACAACTGTTAGTGGTTGTTCACCGACCCATGGCGGAAGCGAATGTGAGTGTCGAGGCCAGCGGTGGTGGCACATGGTCTGCCACAGAGGCGGCATGAGAGTCCTGCATGTTGGTGCTGCTTAGCCCTGATCCTTTAGTTCCTTTCTTCTCAGGGGAGTTTGATGGATGCACTCAGATAGATGCACTCGTTGTTAACACAGTCCAGCCACAAATATTTCACGACAAATAAGTCGAAATAAACAGGGCCGCAGCTATAGCACAACTCGAAAAACATGTTGTCGGCGAAATAACGGATTTATCAGCAAATTGTTTTCGCCGTCAGCGAGAATATTTGAGTGGCTGGGATTAAAAAGTAATAGTTATAGCAAAAATTTTGATAAATTTACGAAAATATTACCAAAGGTTTAAGAAATTACGGTACATCAATTCGAAAGTTAGTGAAAAATGGTATGTCTGGAAAATTTTTTTGCCTCTTTCCCCGTGAAACAGAACCCAGTACAGAAGTCCTGGGATCGAATTTGTACACACAGGCCACAGAAACCTACATTTGGAAATTATTTATGCAAATTACAAACACATTTTTATTAATACATAATGATTTAATAAGTAATAATTAATACACAATATAATGCAAACACTACCTCATGGGGCCGGTTAATTGCATAAAACTCATACTATTTTTAACCACTATTTTTTATTTCAATAGTAGTTAAAGAAATATGGCAACAAAATTTTTTAATGTCTCTTTTGAAAGAACATTTAAAATTATCTCTAAAACCTTCTTACAGATTTTTCATATGAAGCTTAGGGACCGGTCATTATTTATGGAGGGGGGGAGGGAAAAATAAGGGGGGGGGCCATATGTAGAAATAAATTAATAGGAAGGGGGGGGGGGCTACAGACAAGAAAATGATTTGCTGGAATGGGCTGAATTTGCTTAATAACCTGGTATCCATTTGGTTGTAATTGCGACTAAATCATGGTCACTGATGTGAAATAGTCTGGATTTATCTTGTCTTGTGTGTGCTGTATGCAAATCAGTCTTTACGGATTGCAGACTAGTTAAATTGACAATGCATTATTACATCAGCTCTTGATGTGGTTAAATACATTTAAATTAAGCAAGGTTAACGGCGGATGTATTATGCAGGCCACATCCGCTGAGGGGAGTCTGTGACGTTATATCGTTCAAAGGGGGTTGTTTCATGCCTTGTGATCAGTGCTTCGGTCTGGGTATTCCGCATTCTGCCATTGTATGCTTTGCCTAGCTGCAGCAAGTTTTGCGCTTCGATACCTTTTCCCCACCCACCCACCCATGTTCATTCTAAAAGATTTTATCTGCTGGCTAGTATATGTCATTTTATTTTATATAATTTTTAATCTCACATAAAATAGGATGTATAGACCACTATACATTGTATTTCGCAGGTATGCCTTGGCAGAATTGTCATTGCTATCTCCGTTTTGCTGCTAATGTTACTGATTGTTGCTCTCATTGTTGCCGCGCAGCTGCTATGGCAATACTTCGTACCATCAAGTCTAGTTGCAGCCAAACCTGATTTTAGTGTTATATATAAAAATACTCCTTTTTAATTATAATTTTCTGCTAATATATATTTTTGGTCGACGTTAATATCTTGCCAGTTCCATATTCTTATTTAAAGGGAAATGGCAATATATATTTTTTATTTTCTCGTCTGAAAGAACATTTAAAACCATATATAAAACTCCTTTACCGTTTTTTCATATCTTGCTTACTTCTACAAATATTTTAATCGAAAGGAATGAAATGTCCGCCATCTTGGATTTTTGTAGATGTGCATGTCACGTCACAACAGGGGTCACGCAATATTTTTATCTAGACAACCACTAATCATTTTGCACTCAAAATTATACTCTGTATGCCCTTGGAAATATCAAGATCATGATCACTTGAAACCTTTAAAACATCTACCAGTCAATATTTGGTTAGCAACGAATACTTTTATATGGTTAATCCCTGTTGTGACGTCACCAAAACTACCGTTAATGAGCATAGAGATTATAAATAACACTAGAGGAGGCATTGTAATCTTAATTCAGTAAAAAAGAGGGAACGCGATTATTGGGGGGCAAATTCAAGTCCCGGATGTGTATTCGTGTTCCCATTGGTGACGAGTTTCAAATCAGCCAATGAGAGCACTATTTTATATCCGGGACTTGAATTTGCCCCCCATTAGCTGCGTTCCCAATTTTTAAACTCGATGCCTCCTCTAGTCTCTAGTGTTATTTATAATCTCTATGTTAATGAGATCAAAATTTTAACCAAGATGGCTGACATCTCATTACTTCAAGTGAAAATATTTCAAGAACTAAGCAAGATATGAAGAATCGGTAAAGGAAGTTATTAAATAGTTTCAAAAGTTCTTTCAAATGAGAAAATAAAAAATATATTGCCATTTCTCTTTAATAATTAACACTATAACGCCTGGGTATCCCCATTTGACAAGTAAAAATGAAAATGGGGGGGGGGGGTCAAAGAAAAATATTCTAATATGCAGGGGGGTCATCATTAAATTTCTGCCATTTAGGGGGGCTTTCAAATTTAAAAATTTAGAAAAGAAAAAATTCCCCTCCCCCCTTCCATAAATAATGACCGGTCCCTTAAGTCTCGAAATATTTTGACTGAAAGCAATGAGCTGTCCGCCATCTTGGATTAATTCCCTCATTAACTGTCGTTTTGATGACGTCAGGAGTGGGGTTAGCCTTATAAAATTACTTCTAAGTAACAATAAAAAGTTGTTTAAATTGTTTTTATTCAATTCAAAATTTGAGAAAGTAACCAAAAACGAGTTTCGGGTTCATATTGATCACTGGCTGTCGAGATAAAAAACTTGCGTAACCCCACTTGTGACGTATCATGCATATCCTCAATAATCCAAGATGGCGGACAGCTCATTGCTTTCAGTCAAAATATTTCAAGAATCAAGCAAGATATGAAACATCTGTAACAAGATTTTAGAGATAATATTAAACGTTCAGAAACAATAAATTTTTTTGTTGCCATTGTCCTTAACTCTAAAATACGCGATTTTGATTGGTTAACTTTCGCACTGCCGTCGACGTTAACTTTAATTACCTTTTAATACAAACAGCCCCTGGCTTAGATCTATCGCAGTTAACTTATAGTCTGGTGTTATATCATAACTAACTTGCTTGGCGTAAGCCTAGAGAAACGTTCCCTTAAAAACAAACACAGTTGAACAAACATATGTATGAAATCATCAGTGTTCTTGTTTTATTTGGTGCAAACAGCACAGGTTAATTCGTAACCTTCGACATATGGACCACATGGGAGTGATCCACATCTGCCTTCAACAAAATAAAGCAATGCGCCGTGCTTTTCCCGTGTTCCTCTGAGCAGTGGGGTGGGGTTACCATCAACACAAACATATTCTGTACGCTTTTGTGAAACATGTTGTGCCATGAGGTATCCGTTATATTCCATCCTCCAGCCGGCTGGACAGACATTACGCGCAGGGATCATGAGTTTCATTGAACGAGAATCTGCTTCACACACAGCACAAGGAGCGTTGTTGTGATGGCGAGATAGACCAGATGGGAATATATTGCCTATCCCACCAAGCTCGTATTCACTGCCATACATTGCGGACTCTGATTGCACACCTGACTTCACTTTGTTGTATTTTGGCTGCAAAGGCAAGCAAACGTAGTTTCCTCCACCGCCAGCAAGAGAATAATATGTCCCACCGATTCCACCTTAAATTAAAATATTTATACTTTTATTACAGGAAAACCTTTCTATTTTCATACAATAACACCAATCAGTTGGATTAAGGTATTGGCAATGAATTTTACGTTGCATTTAAGTCACACATAAAATCAATATAGACCTACTATCAATGGATTACATAACCCTTGTATATCCCTATATCACTATAAAATTTCCTTTGATTCACGTAATGTTATAAAGTGTGCGATACAATAAAGATAGATTAAAAATATATTATAGGTTGTCTTAAAATATTCACTACCATCAGTTTCACCCTGAACAGGATCTTAAGGTTTAGTTTTAAATAGTTATAGGTTTTATTTAATTTGATATAATTTATATCTTATTTAATTATTTAATTATATCCCTGTTTGTATAATTGATTTGAGGGCCACAAGTTTATTACGTGAGGAGACTTAGTTCCTATAATCCCTGTATTACTATTGGACATACCTGTGTAGACTAGTTTCGAACTTTTTGGACAGCTCTTTCTTCCCCAACGAGTGTACACTACTCCGGGCGTTTTAGCATGAAGAGCTGAAAAATGAAATGATCAGTCATATTTCGTTCCTTCAACCTCGATAGAACAGTACGGTGAAGATACAGTATACCTTTAGTGTTTTCTTCTGAAAATTGTCTCTGCAAAATGAAGAAACATAAAATCCAGCATGTGAATATGAAATTTTGTAACTTTATACCTTGATAATTTACTTTACTTTCCAATCTTCGTAGTTTTTCTTCCAAATTGCTCACCTTGTAAAATACAAATAAACGTAAACGTGAATTTCAATAAAGAGAACTGCTGAACCCGGAGACGTTATGTTTTCACCTGTTTTTGCTGACTCAAAGCATTCCATATTGTCCCATTGTTTACGTAGAGATTGTTGTTGTCTTTTCGATATAAAACCAATCCAGGGACTGATGGAATGTTATCTTGCTTCTCTTTGTCTGACACAGTCAGAGTCTAAAACAAAGTCACCATTAATCTTCTATTAAACGCACTATCTTAAAATTAGCATGCTAATAAAATGATATCCACAAGTATTGAAGATTTACTGTAGCTCCATATGATTTTAAGAATAGAAAGATAATAGTGATCCTTAAAAATCACTTAGCGCGATTTAATCAGTTTGCTTACTATGCTTACCCCTTCATTGAGAAGTGTATCCATTTCGCTGGAACATGTTCCCTAAAATTAGAAAATTTTAATCAGCCAATCAGCGCAAGTAAGTAAGAACAGGGCATAGTCAGGCCCATGCAGAGATGCAGTGTAAACACGCTATATACTATTGTTTACCTTATGAGATGTCCCAGTTAAGCGATCAATGTGATAGGTTTCTGTTTTTCCGCTTTCTAGTTTAACCTTGAATTGCATACATCGTTTCCACACGCGGCTTGGCTGACGGCTTCTAATCCAAAACCAAACGTAAGCACTTTTCGTGACAACACCACCATTTCTTTTTGTGCATGCTGTGCCACAATAATTCTTCCTTCCTCCTTTTGGACCATAACAGGCACAACACTGAAAATATTAGAAGACGTAAAATTTGGAAACTAATAAAAATATCATTTCTTTTCCCCAAAACATTTCAGTTTGATAGGTACCGTTACCCATTGAGCTCCATATATGTCTGGAGTAAGAACTCTTTCCAAAACGTGAAGCCAAAGATGTATGGCGAAAATTGACGTCATGTGCCTGTCTATTGCTTTTGACTGCGCGGTTAACACGTGGGTGCAAGGAGTGCGACAAAATTGATTTTATTTACTGATAACTCGATTAGCAATAGGTAGGGTCCTTTAGAATGGGAAAACGATATTAAAATTTATAGCTGGGAAAACGATATTAAAATTGTTTACGACCTTCAGATAGGTTTTGTATGTCAATTCCGCCATCTTATTCTTGGCTTCACTTTTATCATAGGCGAATGACTAAAGTTCTTGCTCCATATGGCCACCAAATATAAAATTACTACATATATATTTAAAATAAAATATTATTTTCTCACTCTGACACTGTCTGATGCACGGTAGTG